GGGGGTGGAGGAGGGTTCTACTGGGAGCAGTGCTATATAGTCTAACAGCAGCACGAAGGAAGGACCTGAGATAGCGCTCCTTCACACACTTAGGATGAAGCAGCCTGTCACTGAAGGAGCTGCCCAGTGCTGTCAGAGTCTCATGCACGGGGTGGGAGCTGTTCTCTAGTCTGGCTAACCTTCTCCTGTCTCCCACCACCTGCACTGGGTCTAGGGGGCTTCTCAGGACAGAGCTGGCCCTCTTAATGAATCTGTCAAATCTCTTCCTGTCCGCAGTTGAAATGCTGCTACCCCAGCAGACCACTCCATAAAAAATGGCTGATGCCACAATGGTGTCAAAGAAGATCCTCAGGAGTGCCGCCTGCACTCCAAACTAATGATAATTAATAATAATTATAACAATAGTAAAAAAATAAATCAGAAAAACTGGTAAAATTACAAAAATCTTAAAAAACAGATTAAATTGTGATAAAATAATAAATAACATTATAAAATACATAAAAAAGAATAATAAATGTAATACAATAACTAAAAATACCAAAATCATGTTACAAATGAACTAAAATCAAATAAAACAATTGCAGGCTGAAAGGAGGTAGTTAGAGACTAAAAGTTTAAAATGTTCATGTGACACGAGCGAGCAAATTAATTCCTGCAATAAATTTCAGCTTGTTGGTGCAGTGTAGCTAAAAGCAGATTTTCTCAGTTCAGTAAGCACTCTTGGTGCCTGAATGGTGATCCAATCACTGGAAGGAGTCAGATAAATTGCATTATTTGCACTGAGCATTTTTTTGATGTACAATGTAATACATGATGATAATGTAAGATATTAAAAGTAAAAAGAAGCCAATGTGTCTCCCGATGCACAGCCAGAGATGACGAGCCAACCTTTTCATACATTAGGGATGGGGGGAAAAATCGATTTTTAGATGCATCGCAATGCGGATGTGGACGATTCTGAATCGATTCACAAATGTCAAAAAACGATTTTAAATTTTAATTGATAACGTAGTGTTGACGGGACGCAAAAGGCGTAACTTTGCAAAGTGCGGAAGTGCAGCGCCTGGACAGGGTGCTGCAATTTAGTGTGGCGTGCACACTACATTAAAAGCTAGTGCAGGGGTCGCTGTAACTGCTGCACCATTTAAGGTGGAACGGGACAATTCGAATGAGAAGCTGGAGAATGAGAAACTGACTTCAGTTTCACGTGTTTTAGTGTTTGACAGTTTCTTGTTGCAGATTAAATGTATCAGGAAACCAGCTGGAGTAATTTATAAATGCAAATAAGCCTATCTGTCTCCAAATTGTTTGTCTCAAATCTTTCTCTTTGCCTTTTTGTTAGCTACTAGCTAGGTGAACTAGCAGTTATAGGCTACATTAATTCCAGCATTTAAGATCATTTATTGTTGAAACTGTGTTTGAATGATCAGCAGAGCTGTATTTTACTGCAAATGAGGATTATTTTATTTTTACATAGAAATCTAACTCTGATGCGGAGCCACACCAGGCCAGTAAAAGAGCTGCAGGTTGCCGACCCCTGAGCTAGCGCAAGGAAGCACTTTGGCTTCTGTGGAGCATATTACATGTTTCCGCCCATTTTCCGCCTGGTTGTAGTTGCTGCCAACCAGAGAACCATCGATCAAGCAATGTCAAAGCTTTCACCCAACTCGGAAAGGACAAAGCGAACTACAAACTCTATCGCAACTTTTATTGCCAAGGATTTGCATCCGTACTCAGTCGTTGAGAACCACACTTTGGAGCCGAGATACAGCGTTCCGTCTCGAAGATATTTTACTGACACAGCGTTTTACACAAGAAGCGAAGTTTTTGCCTTAATTTACATGTACGCTTGTTAATGAGGTATTTGAAAGTGATTTTTTTTTTGCCTAGCCATATGCCAAGGTATTTATATTTACTAACACTTTCAATGTCAGATCCTATCAGGTTTGTAAATTTAAAAGTATTAAAATCAATGGGCCTCATTGACCAATGTCTTCATAAGTTTTTTTTTTATAAATTTGTTCTTGAGAAAGGTCCTAAGAAAAAGTCTACTTTAGATTCATGATACGTTCTAAATCCCAAATAAGAAAACACTGGTGAATATCAGAATCTTTGTAAAAGCTTCTTTTAAGAAGAAAATGGTTCTTCTCTAGAAAACAGCATGGATTTAGTTTTCTCAACCTGGTAGAGTAGTTCATGAATGTAAAAGGACAATTGTAAGGTATTAAAAGAATACAAAAGAATGCAGCACCAATATAGCCAGCGGAGCAGTACAGAATGGTGTTGTCAGCATATAAATGTATAAATGTACTTTGCAATTGATAATAGAAGTGGCTATGCCTTTAATATAGATATTAAATAATACTGGTCCAAGGATTTAACCTTGAGAGACCCCCTTAGTTGCTAGTATTGGTTCTGATTTACTTTGTCCCAGGGCCACATATTGCTGTCTATCTGAGAGACAATTTCTAATCCAGTTGGTGGCACTGAGGTCAAAACCAACAAAACTGAATTTCTATGGGAAAATGTCTTGATCTTTGATTATTCACTAAGAATTCTAAGATTCTGGCTCAGCATGACATTGGCCTCTTTTCCAATGCAGGGCTGAACGGTTCAGAGCATGAAGGGTAACCATTACAATGTCATGTGATCATAGGTAACTTAGTTTACTCAGCACTGACTGAGATTAGATGAGCTCATAAAGTCTAGAAAATAAGTACGCACCCAGGGAAGGTAGGCTGTGGAGAATGACAACACAGAGATGGTAGGTGAAACAAGGTGGAAAGACACGCCCAATATGCATCTAACCAAGAGCCAATACCATTGATGTGAGTTTTGCTTCAGGTTGCATTGACCAAGCATTCATCAAGTAAAGCTGAGAAGTCTTAACAGACTAAACTAAATTGCAAGATGTTGAATAAACTCAAAGATTCCATTTGAATGTCATCTAAATGTAAACATTTATGCAATGTATCAGATAATTTCACAGATACAGAATACTCTGTCAGCACATCTTATGTCATTCATTATAAGTGTGTGCATATATAGTTAGAAGAGGGGAAAACAATCCAGCCACACTAAATCTTGAACAATTTTTAAACACAACAGTGTTTGTCTGTACTTACCTGTAAAGTGAACTTAAATAAAAATAGTGAACATAAAACACTTGAATAAAGTTACCTTAACATATGCTAACAAATGATCTTACTCATAATCTGAATTGTTCAGATTAAGTTACTCCACCTTTCTGAAGTGTTTGTGTTAACTTCGGCAACATACTCTTCAGTCTGTAGGACTTATGCAAATTAAATGATCTTAACTAGCTTTACCTAAGTAACTAAGGATAATACAAAAAATAGTATGTGCTACTATATTTGCAGTAGTAAGTGTAACAGATGAGTAAACCTTAAAAAAATTAAGTTAGTTCAATTGTTATATTTTACAGTGTAGAGGATAAAGAAGATGGGTGCACACTGAGAGACTGGAGTTGGAGTAACAGATGGAATCAATCATGTTTTGTGGTAGGTGGTGTGAGCAATTAGCTTTTCGTTTGTGTAGTTTTCTTGGGTATTTCCTGGTTCTGATTTAGCGGTACAACAGATAGAAAAAGAAAGCGTAACCAGTCTCATGAGTCTGGACCAGCGTGGAACAGCCCAGTACGGACCTGAGAACCATTTGGCCTGACAGTGGAAAAGCGGCCAATTTTAAGATGGTTTTACAGTTATTAAGATCTGAGGCATCACTTCCCTTGTGAAACGGTATTACATGTGCTGTTTTCCATATAACATGAATTCTGCTTGATAAAATAGATTAGATAGATACATATATGTAATGTGTTCTAAAATGATCAGGGTCACAAGTTCCAGAAAATGAGGTCCTTTCCTGTACTTTTTAGTGGCTATGGTGTTGAAGGCTTTAGCTACTATGTGAGGAGAGAAAGGATGAATTTTAAATAGACCATGTCTTACAGCAGGGGGAGTATCTATTTCATTGAGAGGCGCTACCATATTAGTATAGTCAAATAAATGTCCAGCAGCTGCAAAGTGAGTATTAAATGCTTGGCAGATCTCTCTTTAAAATATGATGATCATTAATTTAGATACGGGTTAGAATAGGCACCGATATGTTTTTGAGTTTGAAGCTGAATTTGTAACTAATGGAGGGTAGAAATCTGCATTAGCTGTCCTGATGTAGTAAGTACATTTATTCCATAGCTGCCTGAAGATAAGTAACTGGAATGTTTTGCTAAAATGGTCTAATGCCAAGTCAAAATTTGGGATTTCAGAAATGTAATGGATTTAACTGAGCACCAGGTCATTTAAAAAAGGCTTGGTCATTACATTTTTAAAAATCTCTTCTTACCACCATCTGAAAGACTGACTTTTTTATTATTATGTTTCTAATATATCCAATAGGGCAGTGGTGGTCACTAAAACCAGGGTCAAATATACCTACGGAAAGAATTTTGTCAGGTCTGTTGGATAAAATTTAGTCTATTAAGTGTTGACTTGGTGGGTCCACACAGGTTTGGTTGTGTTAGTTCTGTAATTAGTTACATTAGAGATAGACGTCCACACACTTCCTTCAAGTGACCGGATGCATTAGTTAACCAGTTCAGATTAAAATCACATACACCCAGCTACCACAAAACTGTTATTGCATCCTGTGTACACATTTAAGGCTCAAAAATCAAAACAATTTTGTTTGGATAATGCATTAAGAGTTTTTACTTGGCTAGTAGATTTAATGTAAATAGCTTCCCTCCCACCTCTAGGTTTCCTATCAACTCTGTATAGGTTACACACACACACACACACACACACACACACATATATATTATATATATGTATGTGTATATATATATATAGTATATATATATATATATATATATATGTGTATATATATATATATATATATATATATATATATAAACCTTAGTATCCTTCATGAGACCACACCAATAGATGGCGGTAACGCCCTATAAGCCGGTCAGCCAACCGCCGGATCGTGAAAGAAGAAGACATTACTTGACGGTGCTACAGCTGGAAAGCATGGCTGGATGGGGTCAAGTAAACTGGCTGTCGCGGGTGCTTACTCGCGTTTGCTGTAGCAGAAATTTAAGTAAACTCAAAGGTAAGCAGCATTTTTATACAGAATAGAGGATGGACGAGTCGTATTTGAGTTTTGACTAGCTTTACCTAGTACTGCGAAAGTGCTGTAAATGAGCGGTCTCGGGCTGTGCTTTGCTTCGAAAGTCACCATTGGTGGGTGTTAATTTTAGCAAATAAACATCCAAGCAAGCCAGCCATATAGTTGTAGAGAACGTATGTACGTATGTATGACCCTGGAATTTCATTAGAATGCATGTATTGAAGTAAGTTACCTAGCATTTCACTGTTTGTGACTGAAAATCGAGGTAAAAAAATAATACGGCTAACGGATAAATTCCAAAGGTGTGGAAATAAAACAAGTTTTTTTTTTATTGCTGGATACATAGTTGTAGGGCCGTTTGATTCAAGGACAGTTGCTTCGGATTCCAAGCGAGGAGAATCGACAGAACTGATTCCACACAACAGTTTTTCGATTTTCTGTCCTAGTCTATTCATGTTTTGAATGCCATTGGACCTTCACACATTGACATTATATGCTACCCCTCAGTAGTTCCTCAATGACACAAGATGTGAGTTTAATTATATGACTTGTTAGATGTTGACTAACATGGGGATAGCTCAACTATAACGTTTCCGGTGTTACACCGAATTCTGTGACCGTCGAGTTGGCTCTGTGACCGTAGAGGGCACAATTTCGCAGTTTCTGTTCACAATGCACGAGCGCTTTACGCAGACTACGTGAGCCGACGTGCTTTCGTTTCTCGTCCTGCTACTTTCTGCAAGCCTAACGATGAGAAATGTGTGTGTTTCATTTTGTCTATTAATTACATACATATACATGGTCACAAATATTTCAGTACAGATTTCTACATATGTTAACGTCAAATGAGAAAAATTAGACAATACCTACCCCAGACAACAGCAAGCTTTTTTCAAGTCAAGTCAGACTTTATTGTCGTTTCAGCTGTATACTAGTACACAGTGAAACGAAACAAAATTCTTCAAGGACCATGGTGCAACACAGGAACACAACAGCAAGACAATTCAATATACACAGTGCATAAATTACAGTACAATAAACAAATACGAAAGACTTACAATAAATACAAAATAGAACACAGGCAGTACACGGTACTGAGAGTATGTGGAGTACCAGAACAGCAATGGTATACAGTATTTGGTTGATACAGTAATTCTAGCAGCTAACGTTGTTAAAGTGTAGTAAAATGTGAAAAAATGCAAATTTTTAGGACAAAGAGTTGTCCTAAATGCCTGACAAAGGCAAAACGCCAGGCGCAATAAACCACAAATTAATACTCACACACACACACTCACACACACAATAAAAGCATCGAGTAACATTCAGAATAATAAGTTTCATTTTGTCCATGAAGCATGATACTTCCATAAATAGAGGCATTCTAAAGCTGCTGGAAGAATGATCTCACCCCTCGCGCCTGTTCGTGCTTAACAAATAAGGTGTACCATTTAAGGTTACCCTTAATCAGGCTTAATTGTGGTCATAATGGCTTTTGGGTAAAATGTAAAAAAAAAAAAATGATACGTCTCCTAAAAGGTTTTGGTTATTTTATCATTGTTTTATTTTTTTATAGAGTCACAGCGGAGTGATACATTCTTATGGTAGATAATGGAATTGTGACAAATTTGCCTATGGCAGGTCTTTAAACTCTAGTTTTGAAGGTTGGCATTGAATGAGGATAATGTAATGGCTGGGCCTGTCACACAAGTCCTTGCACAAGAGTGATCAGTTATCACAGCTACAATCAGAATGTGTGACCCCACTGCATTTCTGCAAAACAGTGAAAGATATGTCTTTTACACAACTTACCATCCCTTCCCTATTACAGTCAAAAAAGCCTTCATGGCTTGAGTGGACAGATTGGCCTTGGCTTAGGGGTCACCAAATCTGACAGTTGTCAGAATATGTGACTGCACTGCATCTCCATAAAAATAAATTAAAGTCCAACCAGATCTTTCCTGGTGACTTTGCATCATTTCACCTTTTCAGCCAAAAAAGCCTTCATGACTGGAGTGGACAGACTGGCCTTGGCCTAGGGGTCACCAATTCTGATTGCATCTGCACAAAAAATGTGAAAAACCAACCAAATCTTTTCAGGTGGCTTACCATCCCTTTATCTTTTCAGCCAAACAAAGTCTATATGACTAGAGTGGATAGATGGGCCTGTGCATAGAGGTCACCAATTCTGACAGCTGCTGTCAGAATATGTGACTGCAGTGCCTCTCCATAAAAATTAAAGTCCAACCATATCTTTTCAGATGACATCCCTTCACCTTTTCAGCCAAAAAACAATTATGACTAGAGTGGATAGATGGGTCTTGGCAAAGGGGTCACCACCAACTGTGGCTGCTGCCATCAGAATCTGTGACTAATGTATCTCCTCAGAAAAATATTAAAAGACCAACCAGGTCTTACCAACTCTTCTCCTAAAAAAACATTGATTACTAGAATGTATAAACACTGATAAGGGGGGCATCAGAATACTTGAATGAATCTCTACTAAAAATAGTGAAACACTTATTTAAAATACTTACTTTTAAAGTCATATGGCATAATTTGCACAGTGTCCATTATGAACAAGCCTAACAGACAGGGACCAAAATTGAATCAAGAAACATGAACAATACTTCCTTTGTTTAACAACCAACAAGAATAAACTTAAAGGAATTTACAAAATAATCCAAAATATAAATTGTGTTAATCTTGTGTTATCTTTTTAAAACACTGTTTAGGGAGTGATCCCTTTGCCACGCAGTAAAGGGTGCTTTGAAGTAATATTGTCCTCATGCCTCAAACATCAAAGCTTATTTGCACGCAAGGCAGCTGTAGGGCTTCTTTATGTCAAGTTATGTGGTACCACCGGGTGCAGTTGTCACACTAAATCTATCAAGATCACGTGTATTTACAACATTATAGATGTTCAAAGTGAATGTTGTTGTAAACTATAGTATGTGTCCTATGTATTCTTAAAGATTTGTCCTAAATTTCCTACACTGATCAGGACCAGAACAAAGGATTTGCTTAATTGGACTTCTTACCCAGACAGTAGTGCAGTCTTGTCCTTTCCTCTTTTTCCTGCGTTTGCTTTTTTCATTGTCCATGTGTTTTTTTTCTCCACAGAAGTGGCATAGCTCTTTAAGATCATCAGATTAAAATATGGCATTAACTGCAGATTCTGGCATGCCATCATTATAAAGGTTTATGTCATTCTGAAGCAACATACATTAGGTGGACAAATGGATACCTACACATTACACCTGCAGGAGCTTTTATGATATCCCATTCTAAATTTACAGGCTTTAATGTGCAGTTGGCCCCGCTTTTGCAGCTATAATAGCTTCCACTCTTCTGGAAAGCTTTATACAAGATTTTGGAGTGATGTCCACCCTTCTCTGTAACTTTGTGATCTGATACTTCATGGCTGAGTTACTGTGGTTCCACTTTTAAATACCACCACTCACAGTTGATCGTGGAATATCTAAGAGGGAAGAAATTTCGTGAAGTGACTTGTTGCAGCAGTTGCATCCTATTACAGTATCATGTCAGTATCATTCTTGTGAGCTTTTATACACCTGTGGTAGTGGGACTAAAACGCTGAAACAAAGGTTCCGCCGGCGCGGCGGGTAGCTGCAGCGGCCACTTTGGGAACAGCAAAGCGGTGCTTTTTTGCTGTTTTTTGTCTACTATCTGTCGTGTAACCTGACCAAAACTATATATCATGACTGCGTTAACCAGCACCAGCGTCTACCATCGCCAGAGCCTGCTACAGCTGAGAAATCAGCCTCAATCTCTACTTCCACACAAACTGCGGGAAGAGCTGCGCGAGCTAGGCCTGCTAAGATCCACGGCGTTGCGTGAGCCTGCTGGGCGAAAGCGAGGCGAGGTGCGCGCTAGGCTAATGGCTAACCCCAGACGACCAGCCGTTCCATCACTTCTTCTATCAAACGTTTGTTCCTTGGAGAATAAACTGGACTACCTCCGGATTCAGCGGGCTACCCAGCGTGAGTTCAGAGACTGCTGTGTTTTCGTTTTTATGGAGACATGGATGATGAGCTCAACTCCGGACTTAGCCATTCAGCTCGACGGCCTGTTGTGCTTCCATGTGGACACAGACGCTGAGCTGTGCGGTAAGACTCGAGGTGGAGGACTGTGTGTTTACATCAACACTGAATGGTGTAGAAACGTGGCGCTAGTCTCTAGTCACTGCTCACCTCTGGTGGAGTTTGCGATTGTCAGAGCCAGGCCATTTTACTTGCCAAGAGAGCTAAATATGCTGTTCATAGTAGCGGTGTACATAGCTCCCAGTGCTAATGCTAACGCCACACTGAATGAGCTGTACAGCGCTATCAGCGATCTGCAAAACACACACCCAGACGGACTGTTTATTGTTGCTGGAGATTTCAACCATGCAAATCTGAAGTCAGTGCTCCCCAAATTTTACTAGTATGTGGACTTTGCAACCCAGGGGGCTAATGTGCTGGATCCTGTTTACACAGACATCCCCAGCGCGTACAGGGCTGAGCCCCGCCTCCACTACGGCTACTCAGACCACATCTCTGTGATGCTCGTTCCAACATACAGGCCGCTCATCAGACGTGCCAAACCAGACCAGAAGCAAGTGAGAACCTGGCCACCAGGAGCTATCTCTGCTCTTCAGGACTGTTTTGAGCACACTGACTGGGAGATGTTCAGAGAAGCAGCAACCTCCAGTGACTCCATCAACCTGGAGGAGTATACAGAATCAGTGACTGGCTACATCAGCAAGTGCATTGATGTTACTGTCTCCAAACTCGTCACAACTCACCCCAACCAGAAACCATGAATGATTGCAGAGGTGTGCATGCTACTGGTACCCGTGACAAGGCTTTCAAGTCAAGGGACAGAGCAAGCCTCAGGATAGCAAGAGCCAAGCATTCCCGGGCCATCAAAGAGGCTAAGCGTGCCTACTCAAAGAAAATCCATGAACATTTTCAAAACATTGC